CATGTCCTGGCTGCTGCAAGGGCCTCTGGGAATGATCTACCAGGCTCAGGGCTGCCCCTGAGATTTGCAGGGCCCAGGGCCAGAGAAAAAGAGAGGCCCACATACCATGTGGCTTAGTATTTAAACACAAGTCAAGCTAACAAACTGTTATATAAAATATGCCCTTTCCTTCTACCTTGGCAGATATGCCTTCATCACAACCTGGCCAGTCAGGTGAGAATGGAGACCTCTCACACTCAGTGACGTGGGGAGAGGTGGCACCAGCCACCACCCTGTCCTCTTCTCTTTGACCACTGGTTCTACTCGGAAGCATAAAGGGCCTTGAATTCCCCCATGTGGACACCCCACTTCTTATGCCCAAGCTCTGTCCACACCCCTTGCAAACAGCTGTCCCTTGGTCACTCCTAGATAGGGCCTAGGGGTGTGGCCACAGCAGCATGGCTTTCCCTCTGGAGGACAGCCCAGGGCAGAGGCGCATGCAGGCCTGGAGGTGGGTGCAGAGCCAACTGCGCAGAAAATTCAGAGTTCTAGATACTCGGAGCAAAGCCAGAAGGGCAGGGAACAGGCTCTTGGTGGGCAAGTCTCCTTGGTCTCACTGACCCCTTGTCCTGGGGGGAGACGCCAACCAGAGGAGGGTGAGGGCAGCCCCTCCAAAGGGAAAGGGCCCCTCTTGCCTGGGCTAAGTGGTACCAGTGGATCCAAAGATAAAGGGTGGTTTTGGATTGGTCAGAATGTGTGATCTTTAGGGTATTTTTCCTCTCCACTGACATCTGCCCCTCTTCCCTCACTGCCTCCTAGGAATAGGAGATATTGTTCAAAGCAGTTATTTCCCCTGAAATTGGTACTTCCCCCAAGAACACCAGAGAATGCCATTCTGGTCTGGGCGAAAGACAGAGCCCTCTGGGGGGTAGGCTGGTTATTGCCAGGAGTCTGCTGGAGCCACCTGGAACACAGGAGAGCACGGCCACGTGTGGGAGGCAGCCGGGCCAGCACAGAGGGCATCTCCTGGGTGACCAGGACTCCTCGTGGCCAATGCCAAGTGCAGGAGAGGACATACAGTGAGGCACACGGTGACTTCCTGGTGCTCCTACAGTTGTGGGACTGGAGACCAAGTCAGGGGAGCACTGTTTTATCCCTGCTATTGTCACCCTACAGTGAACAAACCTCAGCATCACTCTGTGTTACTGTGTGTGTGTGACATAAACCCCAGTGACAATAAATGCTCCAAAAATTGGAACTCTAGGTTTGCTGGTAAATGGTCCAATTTGGGGAAAGTCCGTTTCGGGGCCCTGCCCCCCAGGAGGGCATGCCTTGACCTATACTCTCACTGCCCATTCACACTGCTCTTCTGCTCTCTGGGTGTCTTGAATGTCTCTCTGACCACTTTGTCCCCTTGCAAACAGCTGCTCCCCAAGCCATCCTGTAGCCATGGAGGCTGGATACCAACATGGAAGAGATGGTGAGAGTGAGTGACAGCCATCCAGGTCTGTTCCCTCCCTCCCTCTTGCCCAAACCTGAGGAGACAGGCACCCTGTGAAACCTGTAGGTTTCTCTCATGCTCTACCTCCTCCCTCTGTTTTGAACTTTCTAGCTGTCCTCCATGTCCCTGGTTTCTATTCCGCTATCTCCCATCTCTACTCTTTTTCTTTTCCTTCTAGGACCTTCTGATTGATGACTTGGTCAAATGACTTTTGTGTCTCATTCCTTCCACTAACCTCTCCAAGAACCTGTCTTTTGGATTTCCCATTTTGATCCATGCCTTGAAGCAGGCAGGCAAATGCTGCTCTACCACCCTCATCCTCAATCAGCCCAGTCTTTTGGGTCATACCCCCTGCCCGGGACCAAGGTCTGGGGATCCTGTTTGACTGAGGCAGAGGAGAGTGGACCAACCACAAATTATGATGATGCAGAGGATTATAAGAGGGATCTTGAAGGAAGTGATTTTGATTCTGACAACAATTGTGAGGATAATGATAAAGGAAACTGATGATCCTTGGGATAGTTGTGATGATCCTTGGGATAGTTGTGATGGTGAAGACCACACTGTGAGGCTGTTG